AATCATAAAATTGGAAGAGGGCATTTAGGTCATCAAGTCAACTGCCTGCTCAATGCAGGAATCAAAATTAAATCATCCCAAACAGATGACTGTGTAGTATCTGCACAGTAACACATCCAATAAAGTCTCTGCATAATTTGTTCTATTATCAAGTTGTTCATACTTTTACCAAGTTTTTAAACAACCAGTTGGAATCCGCCTTCTGGTAACTTAAATTCATTATTTGATATCCAACACTCTGGAATGAAGAGAGATCAGGAAAAGAAGTGCTTCTTCTGTGTGGTCTTAGATGTTAGTCTCTTGACCATCTTCATTGCTCTTCTCTCAATCTAGTCCAGTTTCTCCAAAACTGGAGAAACTTTTTAAAATGTGGATCCCAGAACAGGGCACTGTATTTGGAATCTGACCAAACTAGAATGGAACAATTATTTTCTCTGATCTGGGAATAATCCTTCTTCCCTTCCTCCCTCCCCCCTCCCCTTCGTCTTCCTCCTTGTCTTATTAATGTAAATTTCAATGCCTCCCAACTCCAAAGTGACCCTGGGTGGCTCACAATATAAAAATAAAACAATAAAAGAATAAAAATACAATAAAAGAATACCACACAGGAATTAATAAAACAATAATCCAGACAACTCACATCCAAACATATATAACGAATGTCAAATGACTCTAACCCCCTGTTAGAGTTTTGGAGAAACTGGACTAGATTGAGAGAAGAGCAATGAAGATGGTCAAGAGACTAACATCTAAGACCACACAGAAGAAGCACTTCTTTTCCTGATCTCTCTTCATTCCAGAGTGTTGGATATCAAATAATGAATGTAAGTTGCCAACCACCCTACCTAATGGCCTGCGAGAACAGCCAGCTCTTTAAGGCCTTCCAGAAGGTGGGAGCCAATCAGATCTCAGGGGGACCTCACTCCAGAGGACAGGTGCTGTGACAAAGAAAGTGCACTTCCTAAGTCCTGAAAGATGACATAGTTTGATTGAGGGGACCAGGAGAAAGGCAGTCCCTCAAATAACCAGGCTGCATGCTATGTAGGGCTTGTGATAACCAGCACCTTGAATCTCACCCAGAAGCAAAATGGCAACCTGTGCATCTCACAAAGCAGGGGTACCACTGTTCACACTGCTACGTTCTGGACCAGTTGCAGCTTCTAAGTGGTCTTCAAGGACAAGGACATATAGAGCATGTTGCAACAGTCAAGCCATGAGGTGACAAGGGCATGAGTGACTGTCTGGAGGACTGCCTGATCCAGGAAGGGGTGCAACTGGTGCACCAGATAGAGTTGTGCAAAGTCTGTTTTGGGCACACTACCACTTCCTCTTCCACCAGAACTGTGAATCCATGTGGACCCCCAGACTGAGCACCACTCCTCAATGGGGAAGTGCAGCCCCGTCTAGGAGTAAAGATGGAAGATGCCACCTAAACTTGCATTTGTCTTCCTTTCTATATCTTACTTTTTTTTTTTTTTGATGCCTTCAAGTCAGTTGACTCCTGGCAACTGCCTGGGCAAGTCCCTGCAGTTTTCTTGGCAAGATTTCAGAAATGGTTTGCTATTGCCTCCTTCCTAGAGCTGAGAGAGAATGACTGGCCCTAGGTCATCCAGCTGGCTTCGTGCCTAAGGCAGGAATAGAATTCACAGTCTTCTGGGTTCTAGCCTGGTGCCTTAACCGCTACACCAATTGGTTCTCATCATACCATTTATTCATATTCAATTTGTAATTCCAAGATCTTTTTTGCAAGTACGATTAACAAGCAAAGTATCTTTTATCCTATACTTACAAATTTGATTTTTGTTTCCCAGGTGAAAAACTTAGCACTTGTATCTGTTAAATTTCATTCTGTTACTCTCAGCCTATTTTGCCAACATATCAAGACCATTTTCAATGTATTTGTCCTCTAAGGTATTAGTGTTCTCACCAAATTTTGTAATATTTGCAAATTTCCTCCACCTTTTCATCCATATCCTTAAAGAAAATTTGAAGGGGAGAGGACCATTACTGATCCTGGTGGATATGATACTTGATATCACTGTCCAATTTGATGAGAAACATTCATGAGAATGATTTTTTTCACCAAATACGTATCCACTTTATTTATTTATAAATCAAATTTATACCACCCATTCAGCGACTGTTCAAAGTTACGACAGCACTGAACAAGGGTGATTTACAACTGGTCATTGTAGTTGCAGCCATCGTGGCGCCCCCACAATCACAAGATTGTGATTCAAGCGCTTGGCAGCTGGCTCATAATTATGACATTGCAGGGTCCCCACGTGATTGCCATTTATACATTGCCCATCTCACTATCAGTGACTCTAGGCAGCTCACAGGTAAAAAATATAAAAACATTTAAAAACTAGAAAGCACATTAAAAGAGTACAAAGTTAAAAGATGGAGAGATCATCCTCAAGGCGCCACCACCCCAGTGTTGGGAGCCCCCATTGGATCCCCAAGCTAGTTGGCAGAGCCAGGTCTTAAAGCTCTTCTGAAAGGCCAGAAGAGTAGGGGGCAACCTCACCATTGGGGGAGCAAGACCCAGGGCGAGAGTGATGGTAGAAAAGGCTCTCCTCCTAAAATGAAACACAGAGTTTGCTAACTAAAATTTACTTAGCAGGAATTCTGAGAATGAAGAATTGCTCAAAAGAGTAGCTTTAGAGGAAACTTGGAATTTTCCAGCAGGGCAGAGTCCAGTTTTTACAGAGGAAGATTTCACAAAGATATTCTGATGGGGGGATGGCAACTCAGCAAGATTGGTGGGGAACTAATACAAACTGACCAATCAGGAATCTAAGAGGACCAGATCATATAATTCCTAGGTGATTCTGATTTAACAAAAGGCTGAGTCATGGGTTGTGAAGAGTCAGCATTAAATGTGGAGAAATGTACATTTTAAGTACAAGCAGATTTTTGGTCATGCCAAAGAGTTTCCTGGTCAGGGTGTATAAAAGAACAGAGAGACTAATTTTACTGCAGACAATTTGTAGTATATATAAATGTCATTTATGATAGTAACTGAAGATATGAAGCATGGGTATCCACAGGGAGACAAATGACAAAACTTATATTGTCACACAAATGCCAGAACTTACATAATTGTTACATGTTGGGATGCAAATACACAATCGCTAAATTTATATGATGATATCACTCTGCACGTATTATCATTTTGGCATCATTGCCTTTTGCAATAGACACCACTGATACAATATTTGATTGTCATATATTTATTGCCTGCCGCTATGTCACCTTGATCCCATTACATCTATCTAGTACTCTACTCTGCTGCCACATCATTACTCATACCTCTTATAGCTTTCATCATGCAACATGCCTTAACACCCTCCACTATCTTCCTGTTTACCCCAGGTTTATTTTCAAAGCTCTTCAAACCTTTACATCTCATTCCTTCTTGACCCTTATACTGTATCCCCTGTATCCCACTTATTACTTTTGCTCCTCCAGTTCCATCACCCTAAATCAGTGTTGTTCAAACTTGGCCACTTTAAGATGAGTGGACTTCAACTCCCAGAATTCCCCAGCCAGCATGCTAGGCTGTGTTGTGCAGAAGCACAAGAGAAAGGATTGACTCATTTGAAAGAGCAGAGACCTTTGGATTATTTAGGGCACTGTTGTCCAAACTTGGCCACTTTAAGATGAGTGGACTTCAACTCCCAGAATTCCCTAGCCAGCATGCTAGGCTGTGTTGTGCAGAAGCACAAGAGAAAGGATTGACTCATTTGAAAGAGCAGAGACCTTTGGATTATTTAGGGCACTGTTGTCCAAACTTGGCCACCTTTAAGATGAGTGGACTTCAACTCCCAGAATTCCCTAGCC